AGGAAATATTGAAAGTGATGAAAAGCAAAGACCTGCAACCTACATTACTCTGTCCAGCAAAGCTATCATTTAGAACAGAAAGGCAGATAAAATGCTTCCCACACAAGGTAAAGCTAAAGGAGTTCATCATCACTAAGCCATTATTACATGATATGTTAAACAGACTTATTTAAGAAAAAGAACATCAAGACTGTGAAGGCAACAAATTCACAACTATCAACAACTGAATCTAAAAAAACAAACTAAGCAAACAACTAGAACAGGAATAGAATCATAGATACAGAGATCATTTGGAGTGTTATCCACTGGGAGCAGGAAGGGGGAGTACAGGGGAAAAGGTACAGGGATTAAGAAGTATAATGTGTAGGTACAGAATAGACAGGGGGATATTGAGAACAGTATAGGAAATGGAGTAGCCAAGGAACTTACATGCACAAACCATGGACGTGAACTAAGGGGGGAATTACTGGAGGGAAGGGGGGTAACAGGCAGAGGGGAGCAAAGGGGGAAAATTGTGACAGCTGTAACAGCATATTCGATAAAATATATTAAATAAAATAGTAAAAATATGTGTTTAAAATGCATATATTTTATAAACTTTGTACAAAACAGTATTTGTTAAACAGGAATATCCCACCTAGTCACTTATGTTTGTTGTTTCAATAAACTGAGATTTATAGTCCCTATTAAACATGTTGTATGGACTTATAAGAACAGTAAGCACCAACTTTAGATATTATATTTGTATGAATTAATTGTAAAAAATCATGGTAGGAACCATGGTAACATAGTTCATCATGAACACAGATTGTTTCGTGGAACTTTATATTTGACATTTTCATAATATGGGTGCCAATTGAAAGCAATTACTGCAAAATGCTAGTTCCTTAATGACAGGAACATTTGAGACTTTAAAGATACCAGTTTCTCAGCTGTACTCGGATGAGACTGATTAACCGGTCCTTGGGCGTCATGGGTCCACAAACTATGAACTGAGGGTCAAATTCACTGAATGTTTGTTCTGACCAATGAACTCATGTTGGCACACCGCCAGCCCCGTCCGTTCGTGCATTGTCCAAGGCTGTGTTCTCACGGTAACGGCAGCGTTATGTCGTCATGACAGACCCTGCAAGACCTATGTAGCCTGCTGTACTACTATCTGGCTCTTTGGAGAAAGTGCTTACCAACTCCTGCTTTCCACAATGGCCACTGTTTTGTCCCCTCTGACCTGCTACTGCTTCCCTGCTGTTATCAAATGACTCAGCACTTCTCCCTGAATACACCCTGTGCTTGTCCCTGTGTGTTCTTGCTCAGGCTCTTTCCTCCGCCTCGAATGTTACTGCCTTCTACTCAACTCTAAAACCTGCCCTCCTTTGAGGTGTGATTCCAGTACCACTTTCTCCATGAAGTTTTATAATAAAAAGAAAATAAAATTCCCTGGATATAGCTCCCTTAGGCTCCCTGACATATACTCTACAATCCCCTGCCTGTCTCTTGCTTGCCCCTGCAGGCACACACCACCATGAGGAAGTTTTCTACCTATTTCCAGCCAGCCTACTCCTTGCAGCTTAGTGTGGCTGGAGGAAACACACACGGGCATGCCGACCAGCCTTACTTTCTGGCCATTCATGACCGTGGACTTCCAGGAGGCATGGCTGTCATCCCATACTTATATTAGTTCATTCTCCTTCTTACCTGGATGGCTATTTCTTTCATTCTTTTCTGTCCCCAACCCCTAACACCTCCTCCTCATCCTCCCTCTCTGCTGATGGCATCTAGTCTTAATGAACTGAGAAAAGCAAAGCAATAGTCAGGAACGTACAGCACCACGTCGACCTCCCTCCTGATCAAGGACAGCTGTGTTCTCTTTCTTTCTATTCCACACTCAACCTTGGTTTGCCCTTATTTGTAGTGTTTTTGAGTGAATAGATAAATGGCATTACTGCACAAACCAATACTCATAACTCTTCTTTAGTTGCTAAGTCTATTAAAATTTATATTACATGTGTGACTAGGCAAGTAAATAATTACATGGAGTAAAACAAAATAGCCGTGTGCTAGGTTATGTTTTCTCACTGGGATAAAATACAGTATTGGCGTAGCATAGAACATATTTACAGTTCTTTTCACAAGTCACTGTGTGTTAATGTGCCTGTCCACTCTTCCAGATGTGTGACCCCTGGGCAGTGACATCCTGCTAGGCTAGCAGTGCTGGTCAGCACCAGGTCTTCGGGCCAGCCAGCACCTGCAGCGGCCCCAGTCACGGAATTCCAAAAAATCCCTGTTTGAACTCTGTGAACTCTCTGAGGGTCGGGCTGAGAGGCAGTCTTTTTTATTCCAAGATGCAGGCGTCCAGGTGAATGAAGGCCAGACCAGAGATGCTGATCGTGAGGGCATTTTATGACCACATGCCATTCGTGTGTCAGGGTTAAGTGCTGCTCCTGCAGTTCTCCAGAAGTATCTCAGAGCAGGGAGGGGACAGTGTATTCCATCCCTGTATTTGCCTCTCATAAAGTGATTCCCCTGTTGTCAGCCGTTCCTCTCCGACAGAGTTGAGGTGAGAGTCAAATGAGATAATGCACGTGGAAGAGCTCGAGTTCTGTTTTGCATCAGAACAGTTTCAAAGTCTCGTTTTTAAACTCCCAGAGAGCAGTGGATTTTTATTTTTCGCCTGGGATGGGCGGGGTGGGCTGGGTACTTCCTACAGTCAGGGGCCTCCGCTTCTCAACCACAGGACTTGAAATTCCTTGTTTCCCCCTCCCTTTGCCCAACCTGGATCATGAGATAAATTTTTTTATGGCTACATGTACAACTTTTACCTGAAGCAAACCACTTAACCCCTCAGAACCTCAAGTTCTTCACAATAAAATAAGAGTGATATCTCTCACATAACGATATTGTCAGGATAGAACTTGATAATGTACACGAAATAATTTTGTAAACCTGAAAGCACTAGGTAAGCAATACTTAGTCTAATTAATATCACTGCCATGATAGTGATTTTATTAATAGTGTACAGTGAGTCCTGGCCAAAGAGAAAGGAGTAGAATAGTTTTCCTTTTCAGGTGTTTTTGACCAGCATGGATCACACACACACACACACACACACACACACACACACTTTTAGTAAAATCATTCCACAGGAAGATTCCACAGGAAGGAAGCGTCAGGGCGAAGGCTCCCAAACCTGCTGCAAAATCCTGACTCTTCACTGTCAGCCCAGAAAACTACCCCAGTTCTTTGACCACATGATGAGCTGTAAAAGTTTCCTTTTTGGCCGCACTGGCCTCCACGTCGTCAGCATTCTGGCGAAGGGCCTCAGTCGTCCTTGGCACGCACGGGCTGGAGGGAGCGGAGCAGGGAGTGCAGGTGCGCTGTGACGTGGGTGAGGACTGAGCACCCGCGTGTCTGAGACTCACGCTGCTGCAGAAACCCGGCTCTGGGAACGCCGTCGTTCATTCGTTCACTCCAGCAGCTTCCCAAGGCCTTGTTAACACCCTCAGTACTCAGTACTCAGTACTGCAGTACTGAGCAGCCCTCAGTACTGCTCAGTCACATGGTGATAAATACTGTTTCTGAACAACACGGAGTTTGGGATACCACAACTAAAAAGGAGGCAGGGGATTTAAGAGATCTTGGGTGAAATAACAAAGATAATTTTGAACTTCTATTAAACACATTTTTGTAGCTCTGAGGTAATATAGACAGACAACTGTTATGGGAGTAAAAAGAAGAATATGCTTTAATGAAACCACTTGATGGATGACTTCTATCATAGGTAACAGAAGGGTTAGATTTAATATGATGGGGAAAAAGAGTCGTGCTGGATATACTTCTATAGTATCTTGCTTAATGCCTAGATAAGTGCTGATTTTTCCAGTTAAAAGTTACATGCTTTACGAGCAATTATTTTTATATTTCTGAAACATCTGAAAAATAAAATGATTTATTTGAGTTTACAGAATTTAATTGCAGTAAATATGTCAAGGAATGCAGTAGCTTTTGATTTTTGCTGTGGGGGCAGTCCACGAATACATAAAATGAGAGAAAAAAATCATTGTTTATATTCTATATGTTTTGGGTTTTAATTTTTTAATAAAATGACGCTGGAGAGGGAAAAGTGTATCCTATTCTCCACCTCTTTGAGTGAGAAAAATATAATCTTGTTACTTATAAAATTCTCAAGTGACGATTCAGTTAACAGTGACTTATTTTGTTAAAGAACAAAATGCAACCGAGTCAGCGTGAAGCTCTACTTGGCCTTATTAAGTGATTCATCAGCTGGGCAGCATCCCGTCGGGGGGCAGAAGAGCAAGGGTGCGTTTAGACCAGGCCCTCCGTTTTCGGTGGAAGGAAGGCAGCCTGGCTCTTTTTTTCTGTGGAAGGTGCAGAGGCCCCACACGACAGTTACCTCCTTGTCGCCCAGAAAATGTCACACCGGTTGACTAAGACGATATGCCTGATGTCTGGAAGAGTTTGAAACAGAAATGGAGTCGGGTGTTAAGTCCAAGTTTGTTATCATGGCCTTGAGCACAAATGATGATATTTGGGGCCTGAGGTTTTCTGTTTCACAATTTCAAAGACTGAAAACCTCTACTCGTTTCTGTAGAAGTGGCTCCTTCTGTTGGAAATTAAACGATCAGAAGTTTCTAGGAAGCCAGGTATTTGGTTGCTTCTATTTTCCACTAATGACTGTAGAATTTGCTAGTTTAGGACCCAAATATAGCGGGAAGGGATTGGGCTTTATAATCAGACCTGGTCTCAAACCCTGGCGGCCGTATACTTGCTGTGCAGGTGGGCAGCTGACCAAGTGCCGCCGAACCTACCCCGCAGGACTGCGGAGGGGATTGAATGTGGTGCACTTGTTCAGTGACTGTTGGGTGCCCATGAAAAAGTCGGTGCCCAGTAAATACTGACTGCCTTCCCTTTCTCCTCCCAACCCCTGCTAGGGTCACTTGTGTTTTTAATGCATCGCCCTTTCCCCCTGGCTTGTGTTGTAGGAAGTTTTCTGGATGGACGGCTTCTGGGAACCCATCGTCGTAGCCAGCTCTTCTTCAATGTGTAAGGATTCACCCGGGAATTGAGTAATGAGAATTTCGGTAAGAATACTTAGATAAAGGTAGTGTATGGATTTCCTCAGATGTCACTTAAATCTCAGCTACTTTATAATGTGACTCTTCTCTAAAGATCCTTGGATATAACAAAAGCCCATTCACACCTGGATTGTCCTTATCTGGGAAGTAAATATAATAAATATTTAAACTCTATGAACCACCTTGGTAGGTTGGCTCTTCATGTCCTGTAAATGTATTATTTCTGGTATCTTGCCCTGTTGTTCTTTAAACTCCTAGCTCCTCAGTGCCATGCGCAGTCTTTGAGGACAAGGTCTGCTTGTTCCTTGTCCTTTAGGCATAAAGTGAAGGAATCACAGATTTTTAGTGGTTCAGGTGACAGCCCACACTGCTATCTGAAATGCTACTGCTTCGGCAACAGGGAGGAGGCAGACAAAAGTATCAAAACTCTGGGGAGCCCTGAGATAAGTGATATTTCTAAATCACTAAGAAACATATGGTGGCTGTTGTGATAGTATAGAGTGTCTTCAGTTGGCTCCCTTTCTATCCAATTTTTCTCTAGATGACAGTAATTCATAATTAATTTTCATATAGTTACATGAAATTGCTATAGAACTATAAACCTATATTAATAATTTATGTTAAAATCTGCACTGCATAAAATATGTTGAACTATTAAAAATGAAAAGAAGAGGGAGATTAAGGATAATGGAAAAAATAGTGGTATGATTAGTAAATATGTAAATTTTCTTAAAATCAATGTGTATTAAAAATGTATTTAAAAATGTTGCCCACAGACAAAAGAGCTGGAGGGGAGGGAGCAAAATAGATACAGTCCAGTTTTATTAATTCTGATAAGGAGCATTAATTTTTAAATTTCAATCTAAAGAAATGATAAACCATTCATTTAAATATCACTTCATACCCAGAAGATGTAACCATTTTCCCTATGGTTCTGTCTTTCAGAAACCACGTTTGAGAAGTACGTCCATCCAGTGCTATTTGTGTTTACTCCTGAACAGCCATTTTTTAACTGAGGCCGGCATTCATATCTTTATTCTGGGGTAAGTTTATCTTTAGGCATAAATACCATCATGCTAACAGCCTTGGCCGTTTTTCTTCCATATTTTCTCTGTTGAATTGGTGTGCGTTCAGTTTGCAGTCAGTTTTGGGGGTGCGGTAGAGGGCAGACTATGCAGACTCGGAGGAGGTGTGGCGAACGCTGAGCGTTTCCGTGTTCCAGCAGTGCAGAAAGGAGTGTTAACATCCCACGGATGAGGTGGGCCTCCTGGTCTACAGCTACATGTAGAAGTGCATGCCTGATTAATATCCTACCTGATTTTCACTCAAATAAAAAATACACCTTGGTGTACGTGACTATACCTAGAAGTACCTTCCTTATTAATAACCTGCATGATTTTCATTGCAGTAAAAAAAAAACATAGTTAAGGCTCACTCATGTTATTTTTTCAATCTATTTCTCGGCACTGACTTCTTCTATCCTTGGAGTCCTATCCTAGTTCATTTGGAAGCATTTCTTTCTTTCTTTAGACCTTTCATTTTTCCTCCTAATAAGCATTCATATTTTCCACGCCTATTAACTCGTTTCTTTTTTCTAAGATGAAGCTGGCACACTGCCGTGCTTGGCCTAAGAACCCAACCCATAGTTCTGTAACCTGATTCAGTGCAAGTTCAGTTTTCTTTTTTACTCCACGGAGTGGGGGACCATAGCTTCGTGCAGATAAATCTTCCTTGCAAGAAAGATTAGCGTTGGTTCTCGTGCTTCTGTAAATATCCATCAGGGCCCAGTTATTTTTCATGAAAACTTGAAGAATCATTCCCTAGTCACTTGGTCCGTGTATGTGTCTTTTGTCCAGATATTAAATTTCTGTTCTACCAGGAGGAGTAAGTGGATGAGTAAGTACATCCCCCTAGACCGGGCTAACGCCTGTAATGTTCATGGGCAAGGCTGCTGCACTCAGAGCGCTCATGTGAGCAGCATGCAAGGGGCACGGCTAATCCACAGCGAAGAACGTTTAGAATCAAAACCATCCTATGAGATTGGTTATTGCTTATTTTAGGATTTTTACCTGTATATTAGACTTAAGAGTCCGATGGGACTTCTACCGAAAGAAAATTAGTAATTCATTCAAAAGCATTTAGTGAGCACTACCGCACACCAGGTACTATTTTTATTTCATTGTAAGAAAGTGCACCCAGTTTTATAAGTTATCCCTTCAAATTAGGCGTTTCTCTCATCAGGGCTGCTCTGTCCCCGAGTTAGCTTCAAGTGTCAAGGTTGTCCCGTGTGACTGCTGTTTCCGTTCACCGACAAGACTGTTGATCACACAAAGGCAAGGGTTACACTCATCTTTTCGCCTCTCAGAATAAAAAATGCCGGCTTGCTCTTTTGCCTTTCGTATTCATCAAGATAGTATTACGTTCATTCAAAATACTGTCCTTCTTGGTTTTGCTTTCAGCTGTACCAGTGCGAGTCTTCCTAAAACAGAGGCAAACTGGAATGATGTAATGAGTGATTTAAACGCAATTAAAAATCTTATTCAAGTAAGTACTTACGTTCCCATGAACAGTCTGGTGTCATTGCTGCGGTGTGTGGCTTTTCCTGCGTTTGAATGTCAGTCCTAATGCAATCTCACTGGAAACAATAACACTTTTGTAAAAGCCTGTGAGCCTTGTAAAGCCTCAAGGGAAACCTTTTACTCACAGTTTTCAGGTCCCAGTCATGTTTCAGCTCGGTTTATAAGTGACCCAGCTCAAAGAGCTTGTCACCACACACCAGAGATTCACTGCTTGTGCTCCAGAAACCAGACACCTTCTGGCACTTGCAAGGGGAACAGGCTGACCCAGGGAAAGGCTCGCTGACCTGTGGGCTCCAGATCCCCTGTCCACCCCAGCCCCCCACTGGCCTGGAAGAACCTACAGGGGGCCGGAGACAGAGACTAGGAGCCACTGACAACTGTGTTTAAGGAAGTGTCTTCTACCCCTGTGGGTGACGGGACAGTGCCCAGGGGAGTCCCAGGGGCAGGAAGTGAGCCACCCTTCCACGCTGGCACCACAGAAATCCTGCAGACTGAACTGTCCCTAGAGGCGCACGTCAGAACCTGAGTGCCACACCTAATCAGGGTGGCTGCAGGCTGCCGTAGAAGACTTGGATAGGCCCAGGGTCTCCTAATGCAACAGCCCAAATACTGGACTGCAACCTTGTATAGAGAAGCAGGACAATCACAACCGGAATGAGGAGAGATCAGCAGACTCTAAAGCCGACGTGGATTTGGATTTTTGGAATTATTAGACAGAGATTCTAATGTAGCCACTACAAAAATGCACGCACAGGGAACTGCAAACAGCCTTGAAACAACCGAAGAAATCAGAAAGTCGTAGCTGAGCAATACAATATGTAAAAGGGACCAAATGGAAATTACAGAAAAGAAAAAATAAAATAACTGAAATGTAGAACCACTGATAAATCTGCATAAAACTTCACACACACACACACACACACACACACACACTTCAGTGGGCATAAAACTGGTGAGATTTGAATAAGGCGGGTGGATTGTAACATGTAATTTTCCGGTTGTAATTTTTGTGCTTGGCGATGCAGGATTGGGGGAAAATGGTGAAGGGGCTGTCTGTAATTTCTCTCACAATTGCACATGAATCTGAAATCATCTCAAAGAATTTAATTTTAAAAGCTTAATTTAATATTGTCAGTGGGTTGTTCTCGTATCTAAAATAACGCATAGTGTTTCACATTTGCTAATTTTGTTCTCTTGTAGTCTATACACATTGATGCCACTCTGTATACTGAAAGTGATGCCCATGTGAGTATAGTTTTTTCCAAAATTGCTGTATTTTCCAGTTTTGAAAGTCTAAGAAGTATATGTTTATAAATTTACTGAAATATGTATAGTTTTAAAATGTAAAATTTAGTGTGTTCTTATAACATATGATCAATGAATCTTTGTAAGTAATTGTTGAGATTATGTGATTTGGGGACAAAGAGGTACCCAGGTACTATTTTTACAAAGTATATAAAAGCCTTTTCCGTTAAGGTCAAAGAAAATACGTTATATAATTTGGGGATGCAATTGGATCCCGATGCACTTAAATGCAAGAATCATGTTAACTGATTCCATTTAAAATTATCCGAAATGTCAGTAGTTTCCAGGGCGGTAGTTTATTACCATCTTTAACCATGCTTTCTACAAACTGCTCACCTGCATTTATAGTCCGCACTTGGCATGAGTCTTCACAATTGTCAGAAAAGGGCTCTGGCTGTTCACTCTGCCTGTGAGAAGAGAAACATGCACAATCCAGAAAACCTATCCAATTCCAAACTAATCTTGAACTTGTGACATGAATACACTGGCATTGTGGAAGCCGCGTACGAATTCCGTCATGTTGCTGGTCCTTCGCCTCTGAGCTGGTTGCTAAAACTCAAGAAACAAATTCCTGACTTTCTCACCTCTTGCACACGAACTCCCTGTTACGTACATTTGGAACAGGGAGTCCTCTGTGCTGTCCCTCAGTTAGAACATCCCAGAAAGAGAAGGACTTTCTAAACATTGGAAGGCAGCCACAGCCAGACTCTAGGAAGAACAGACGTTCACCGACCACTTGGGATTGGTGCTGCACACACGGAAATTGCCTCCCTCCTTTGGCTTCAGTGTGCTTTCTATTTTTCTTTGCATTTTTTATAAGTAGAAAGCAGTCAGCCACCAACACTCAGCATCCCGAGATTGCTTTTTTTTTTTTTTTTGCATAGAAGATAACCTAGCAACTCATGGGTTGTAGAAAGAAGCTGAGATTGAAATTGAGATTTAAATCCTGACTCAGCCACTTCTTAGCTGTATTACCTTGGAAGTTACTACACGTTTCTGAACCTCAGATTTATTATTTACTTTATGATTTTCTTTTATTTATTATTTCTTTTATTATCAACTTGGTGATAGTGTTTGCCCGTTTGCTCCTGAGTAGCTGCTGTGGGGAAAAAGGAATGCATTAGTCCCCCTTTAACCATAGGGGATAAGGTACATTTCAAGAACCCCAGTGGATCCTTGAAACCATGGATAGTACTGACCTCTGTATATACTATGTTTTTTTCCCCATGCATACCTAAATACACATGAGAAAGTTATTTTATAAATTAGGCCCAGTAAGAGATGAACAACAAACAAGTGACAACAAAACAGAACAATTACAACAATATACTGGTCTCTTTCAAAATACCTTATTGCACTGTCCTCACACTCCTCGTGATGGTGTGAGATGTGCCCATGTGATCAGATCAAGTGGGTGAAAGGTGTAGCCACTGTAACACAGTGGTATGCTACTGTTGACCTTCTGGCAATGCATCAGGAGGGTCAGAGAGCCATGCCCTGTGAATTGTTCCTGGAATTTTCCATTTAATATTTTCAGACTGTGGTTGAGCACAGGTAACTGGAACCACGGAAAGCGAAACCACAGCCAGAGGAGGGGCTGCTGGATTGCTGGGTAGGGGCACAGGGCGCAGGAGCGTGCTCCTTCTTTCATCCCCCTGCAGCAGGCACACGCTCAGTGCCCGCAGGGAGCTGCACTGTGCCAGGTGTGCAGAACACAAACTCAAGCGAGGCACGGGTGGGTGAATGCCCAGATGGTCATGAAATGCGCCTTTCCTTTCAGCTTAGGCTTTTGTTGAGGTTAACCCTTGTGGAAAATGTATTTTTGTGGTACCTGGAAGGGAAGCTTCTGATCTGGCCAACCACCAGGTAGTACTCCTGCTCTGATTTTTTCTAACACATTTCTTGGAATCACACCTGCCTCTGGAACTTTGGAACTTGCAGGTGTAACATGATTGGCAGTTACTGCTGTTTAACGTGTTAACAGCACAACCTGACTCTAGAAATTCTCCCACTATCAGTATTAGTGTTTTCTAAGTCTGAGGCCAGGATCATTACCCTTTTACACAGACGAGATGTGCTCAGTAAGTAAAGGTCGCCTATGATTTCCACGTTTTCGAGTTTCATGTTTTTTTCTACTGCACATATGACCATCCTTCTTGATTGCTGTTTTCAGTTTGTTTTGGTTTCGATTTCAAAGGCTAAAAAAAAAAACAAAAACTGCTTTCTATGTAAAACTTTTTAGGGGTGTTGTGTTTCTTTAAAAATATTTGGAGTCACTTTTTAATGTGAAAATCTATGTGAAAATGGGTACTGGGAAAATAATTCATTTTTCAAAGTGGTTCTCTGTAACTCTCTTTTCAGCCCAGTTGCAAAGTCACGGCAATGAAGTGCTTTCTCTTGGAGTTACGCGTTATCTTTCAGGAGACGAACAATAAGGATATTAGACAAGCGATAGATAACCTTATCTTGCTAGCAAACAACAGTTTGCCTTCTGATGGGGTGAGTTCTCCAATAGTCACAGAGTCACAGCAGATGTTTTTGGCTTGACTGGGAGAAGTCAGGAGCTGGAAGGCAAGCGAACCCTCCCAAGGGAAAGGGAGTGAGTTCCTTTCAGTGTAATGGCATTCCGAAGAGTCTGCGTCACAATCCTAAACAGCTCACTGGCTCATTCATTCACAAACGTGTGCTTGCAGCGTGCCAGGCAGTGAGCGTGCTTGGTGCTGCAGCGCCGGTGATCAGCCAGTCAGGTCACTGACCTCACGATGTTTATCACCAGGTGCAGTGAATAGGCATTAATCTCACTGCATGATTAAGGGTTTGGCGTGGATAATAGCAGTCCTTATTTATCGAGAGTTATGCTGTGCCAGACACGTTCTTAGTTCTTCATGGGTTGAACGGCAATCCACTGAGTCCTCACCAAAACTCTGGGAGGTAGTTACCCTTGACTGTTTGCTAGGTAGAAGGCGCTGAGCGTTACCCTTGACTGTTGGCTAGGTGCAAGGCGCTGAGCGTTACCCTTGACTGTTGGCTAGGTGCAAGGCGCTGAGCGTTACCCTTGACTGTTGGCTAGGTAGAAGGCACTGAGCTCCGAGAGCTCCAGTGCACGCAGCTGGGGAAATGGGGAGGCCGGATTCAGGACCAGGCAGTTTCACTTCCGAGTCCGTCTCCTTATCTACTAAAAGGCTAAATGCTGCAAAAGGGTAATAATAAAATATGAATAATTTGAGTGTTAGTTATTAATAATTTAGACGATGGCAGGCAACATGAGCAATACGAGGTTCCGGGAGGGCAAGTCCTGGGAACGCCCACAATAGGCTGGGGGACCAGCTACGTGCAAAGGCCCCGTGGTGTAAGGGATATGGTTTTCAGGGCGAAACACTGGTGGCCAAAGCACAGTGGATACAAAGAAGTTTTCTAAACAAAGAAGGCATAATAATAATTCATTAATTCAACGAATAATTTTTAAAGACTTCATTTGTTTATTTTTAGAGAGAGGAGAAAGGAGGGAAAAAGAGAGGGAGAAAAAAACATCATTGTGTGATTGCCTCTCACACGCCCCCTACGAGTACGGCAACCCTTTGCTTCACAGTTCAGTGCTTCATCCACAGACCCACGCCAGCCAGGGCTAACTTCACAAACACTTTTTGGGCCTCACTGTAGGTCTTCAAGGAAAACAGAAATGGAAAAAAAAAAAAACCCCAACACAGATGGTTCCTGCTCTTTAGAGGGAGGAAGCCTAAATAAACCAATCAATAAGCAAATGAATGTTAAGTCAGTTATTTGCTAAATCCAGTGGCCCCAAAGAAGGCTGGCAAACGTGCTGGCATGCTACTTAAGAGAAGGTTCACCTACTAAGCTGACCTTCGGTGAAGACGTGAGGGTATGAGCCTTACTTCTGGGAAGTGTGCTCAGGTGGCGCCAACTCCCGGTGCAGGGCCCCTGAGCTAGTGTGGCTGGACGCTGGGATTTTCCCCTAAAATTTCCAGGCTTCTTGAAGCCTTTGCTTAAATGTCACCTTCTCAGTGATGTCACACAGTTGCAGTCCTGTGTCCATGTCAGCATGCCCACTACCTGATATACTACGCATTTTACATAGTGAATATTTGCTGGTTTTCCCTAGTACAGGGTCAGCTTCAAAGGGGAAGGCTTTAACAAATTTTTCTTTCAGGGCTATAACCCAACTCTCAGAACAATGCCTGGCCTAAACTAGGTCCTTGACTTACTTTATGACATGAATATATTCATGCGTAAAATACTCTCGTGATCTGTTATCTCTGTCTTACTAATAATTCATAACAGTATCAATGGTGAACTCCTTTACGCAATGCTCACAGTCACCTTCAACGTCATGGCACGGGGCGGTGCATGGAGAGGGAGAGGGAAGAGCGGCCAGGACTGCACAGTCAGAGCCCCCGGATGAGGAGAGTTTCATTGATCATGCCAGCTGTGATGAGTCTTTTAATGTCTCTGCTCTCCTGTCTGACATGATTATTTTCAGGATCCAATAAGGCAGTGTTGTATAGAATGTGACCAGTGCCTGGTATAGAATCTGTGCTTGATAGATATTGCTGAGTCTGAATGTCAGATGCTTAATGGATACAAAATCTAATTTTGATTTTTCCTGGTACAGCTTTTCCTGGTTCAGATGAGCCCTAAAAAATGTATTTATGGCTGCCACGTTTAGAATATTCTAGTTATCCACAAAACTGTGCTGGGCTTACAGCACTTCGTGGTCTCCACCTAAGTAGTTGGATTCAGCCAGTCGTGATGGTGTGAATACCGCATGCAAAGCCCTATGCCGAATGCTAGGGAAGCAAACATACACGGCCTTGCTCTCCTGGAAGAATTTAGAGGACAGTGGTATGGAAAGCATAAACGTCCATACCTTCAGTGTAATGTGTGCCTTGAGGGCAAATCTAACCTGGGGATCGTGAGAGTGTGGCCCAATGGCACACTTAGCCTGATCGCAGGAACTCACGGGTTCAGGAAAGATCCTCGTGGAGACAGCAGCTGAGTCATCGTGAGTGTGAGTAGCAGTAGCTGGAACAGGAAGTGTTGGACAGCCCGAGGGAAACGTGATGGCAGGGCGGCGTCTAATGGCACGGCCTGTGCGTGGGGGCAAAGGCACGAGCTCTGGGTTTCTAGGGCATAATGTGTGCGGCAGTGAGGGAAGTGCAAGACACAGGTAAGGGACAGCTCTCGGAAGGCCTGTGTGCCGTGCCGGAAGGCGTGGACTTCATTCTAGGGTGGATGACCCGGAACCCTGGGCTCTAAGCGGAAAGTCCATAGTCTAATAATAGACACCGCATACTTTCCAGTGTCCTCAACCCATTGTAAGAAAAACAAGCCCACATCCAATCTCCTGGTTCTCCCTAATAGGCTATTAACTTGCCCAAGTTTTCGTGTCTTAAGACCTCACTCACCATATGGTTCAATGGATGTTGATATTCCCGGGAGAGAAATATGCCAGACTCCCCACTCTCATCCTTTCTTTTCATTTGGCAGAACGTAACTGAATCTGGATGCAAAGAATGTGAGGAGCTGGAGGAAAAAAGTGTTAAAGACTTTTTGGGGAGTTTCACGCACATCGTGCAAATGTTCATCAACACCCCATCGCAATGATCCTCCGCAGTGCTTCCACCGCTTGCAAACATCTCGCCGTTGCTCGGAGGCCACGGAGCACTTTGCATGGCCAATACGCCGCCCAAACACGTTTTTGTTTTTTTTTTAAATCAAGAACATCATCGGGACCTCGAGTGAGATGAACTCTTTGAAACGAAGGTAGAAAAACGGCATTGAGGAACGTGGTGTCTATGAACTGCCTACAGACATAGTTTGTTCATTTATGTTTAACTTATTATTGAAATTGTACATATCTGTAGTATGTACATAGTATTAAATGTCAAATAAAATGTGGTCATATTTTATCCTTTGAAATTGCCCTGATGTTTTGCTTCTTGTAAGAAAAAGGGGACATTTGTTCGAGGATGACAGTCAAAGTATTTAACAATGACTGGGGCTGGGAGCCCTGGTTCCATAGGTGGTAGGTTCCACCCAGTGTGCGGCCATGCCTGCCAGCCTGCGTTTACCTCTCCACCAGGTATGGCGCCCAGAGGAAGAGTTGGCTGACTACCAATGAGACAGGAGGAGCGAGGTGTGAAACCAGGGCTTCCCTCCGTCATTCGGTTATTGACGTAAAAAGAGCTATTAATAAAGAAAGAATCTCCAACAGCCTGGCACATAACGCACATCAATAAATCTTAGGTGGGGGTGGCAATAAAACCTTCCCTGAGAAGTGGACTTACCTATGGAATACTAAAGTACAATGATGTTTATATTTCATGTTTTCCCAAGTGCAGGTACTTTATTTTCACTTTTTTTGGCCACATTTGTATACTTAACTACTAGATTTGTGAGCGCCAACGCTTTCTGACATAAAATAATTGCTTATATATTTTTGCAATATGCTGTCTAAAATTTGCAAGCTCACTTTTAGTGAACTACGCCTCAAATGAAATATTCTTGTTTCATCACAAATTTGCGGGCTGCGCTGCGGGACGGACTGTCGGCGGCGGGGGGTGGGGGGCAGGGGGTGGGTCTGTGGGTTTGCCCTCTCTCCACTTTGCAGGACAAACTGCTTCTCTGTCGGAACGTTCTCTTACCCCCCGGGCCCCCTCTGTGCTCACACATCTCATTGTTCTAATCGGTGTATGCTTCAAAATTTCCTTGAAGATAATTTTGGAGAAATCGGTGTCCCGTTTGACTTTCAAAGGGTCATGTGCTGGCTCTCAGTTCGCTTTCTGATCTCCATCCAGACACACAGTATTTGGCAGCCACACCTCTAAATTTAGGGATTAGGGTAGTGGCAATTGTCTGTTCACTTGTTTTTGTGTGTGTTTTAAAATTTTATCTGAGATGGAATTTTTAAAATGTGCATATATATTCCCTCCCCCCTTAGTTTTCCATTGCTGAAAAGTAGGGAAAAGTTACCATTTTAAACTGTAATATTTCAATCCAACCCTTAGACAAAAGTTAGCCCCCTCTCAGTGTTTGTTGGGGTGGGGAAGAAAAATGATAACGGCGGTCACGTCAGCAATAATATTTTATGGTGACTGATTATCCATTCTGGTCATAGAGCCATGCCAGCGGGTTTAAGACTCGGCATCCGCGGCTCTCAAAATCCGAATCCCTCCCTCATTAGTTATTTAGCATGAATCACTTCTGTCGGTCTTAAGAACACTCTTAGCTAACCTTAGAGTCAAGGGATGATGTAAACACTACATTTGATTTTTCGTTCCTGTATTCTTAATGAAATCAGTCTTTCATTTTTGTTTCAAAGTTTTCCCCTCTTGAGTTGCCCTTCATAATTAAGCACCCCCATACCATTTGTCTAGGCCAGCGATTTTTCAACTGGTGCGCCACAAGGGTTTTTAACACATGCAAAACCTGGCCGTTCAGTCAGAGGCCCTGACCTTTTTTCCCTTAATTGTCAAATTAAAAAAAAATGACAACAGCCAACACAACAATAGCCACCTGGTGTGAATGAGTTGAAATTATGCCTACTTTTTATCAGCTTGGCAAAAAAAAATATATAATTATTGCTGGGCTGCATAACTTGACTAATTAGTTTATGTGTGCCATGAGGTTAAAAAGGTCGAAAAGTCCTGGCCTAGACAAAGATTCTGTGTTTATGTCTCACCTACTGCCCTCAATGCTAAACATGTTTGCCATATATCATACAATAAAACATAAATCCGTGTAGGCTTAGAACCTCAAATAGTAAAGGTAAAGCTAATAAAAATCAGGTTTACAGTCCAAAGTCCTACTGTTATCTTCATTTCAGATACAGAAAACGGTGCACAGGAAAATATTATTTCTCACCTGCCCCACAATAAGCACAAAGGACGAGAAGGTAGAGGACGTGGAGATGCAGACAGGTACAAGACAGTTTGGTGAGCCCAGAGATTTGTAAAGCCCAGGCACAGGTCTAGTTTTATCCACTCTCATTCTTTATCTTAGAGCAGAGAATCGGCATGGGATTATTTTGTTTTGCTGCCGTTGTGAGAGAAGCTTCTGTGTCGATGTGTTATTATGTACAGCTATCAAACTCAAGGGCTCATAAGGAGACAGTGACGTATGCAATGTGAAAATCAAGCAATATTTTTAAAATCAAGTAATATTCTCTCCCTCCAGAAAGAAGTACTAGGGAATGCATGTTTGTTCCTCCATCTGTGTTCTATCAGGCTTCCTGTAAGCTTTCTGAACTCACATGTGAGTCATGGTTGGCACATGTATGTCATGTGTAAATACTTTCCCCAGAGGAGATCCCATTTCCATAGATATTTGGCTCAATGCTTCTGAGTGTGTCTGATGACTGAATTTTGTTTTCAAAAGGAATAATTATGCAAGGTAAACTTTAGCTTCATGGAAAAGTCCCCTAATTGTGTAATCTATCTGATGCAACACAGGAGAAAAATTAATGAATCATTAATGAAGAGCTGTGATATTTTACATCTTCAATGCTGGATTTCAAAATAAGTTAACTCTGAGAAGAACTGAAGAGGAAATTTTTTACACAGAAGCAGAATTGAAAATTATACATTCAGTTTTTACAAACTTGTCAACATTATCAGAATTTTATCTTCATTGTCACCCTACAGGTGGCTCATCATCATCATCATCACTGTCTTATGTCAGGTAAGAATCATCTGGTCTGATGGGCTCTGGTAAGGATTTTGCTTTATACTCCAAAAGAAAGAGACTCTTATTCTCATATGTATAAAAATAATACAGGAGGCATTGCTTGTAGTGTCCAGAGAAGAGTTGAAGTCAACATCTCCTTCCCACTAAATCCCAGGATAATAAAATTATTTCTAACGATATCATCTTGCATGGGCCTCATTATTGTAGTCATTGAATGAACTCCTTGCAACACCTAATGGAGGTCAACTTCAGCAAGTGTTTAATTATTTGCTCACTGTCATTAACAGCAAACCTGCTTACCATACATGTGATGTGAGAGACAGAAGGTAGCGGACATGAACATGTAAGCCCAGCTCTAGGTTCTGAGTTTCACTGGCGGGAAATGAGTTCTTGTGGTATCACGAGGGAAAGAATTTCCTGAGACTCACATGGAAGGGTGGGACTCTGTGGTAAACTTTACCAGTGACATAAAATGAAGGAGGCCCCCCTCCTGACTTCCCAATGTCCCATCTCCATCCCCTCACCATGGAAAAGGTCCAACCTTGTCTCCAGAAAGGCCAGAATAAAGGCCGCTGCCCAGAGTGTCTGCTCCATGTTCAAGTTCAGTCCAGGCCAGCATCCACCTAGCTTGGCAGGTGTTTCCAGCTGCAGTCCGTTGCTGTGCTGCGGTGTTCAGGCTCCCCCCTGGAGCCTGTGTGCAGAGACCGCATGGCTGTGGGCCATGCAGCTGCTAAGGGCTCCTGGGGGGTGCCTGAGTGCACAGTGAGAGTGTAGGTTTTGGGGTGGGGGTGGAGAGAGAGAGACAGCGCTTCTTTGTTTCCGTGATTATATTAGCTTGGGCTTGGAATGGACCAGGTGCTTTTTCAAAATGACCAATTTTCCAAACTGTCGTAAGTTTGGGTGGGTCCACTCCCCCTGGTCAGACGGATGGGCCTCTTTGGTCAAGTACCTCCCCCTGTGCCCCCCACCAATCCGATACTAGAAGAGGGAAGGGAGGAGTGTTTATCCCCTTGGTGGAGTGCTGCCCTGGTCCCCTGGAGCACGGGCCTGCAGCTTCCTGACGGAGCAAACAAGCTCACGCTCCCCAGTTTATTAAACTCAATGTCTAAGTCCCTTTGCTCCCCTTTCTCATCAGTAATCAGCTGAATGCCAACGGTAATGTGAGGACACGCGGAATGGGGCTGTGGTCAACATCTTAACTCAGGGAAGCCTTCTTGAAAGGGACTTCTAGAATCCCATTTTAATGAGAACTATTAGATATGATGGAGGCCAACCCTTCAGATCCAGAAAAGGAGGGCAGAGGAAGGCGCCAGCTGGCTGTGGACAGGGCGCAGCTAGCACAGGAAGTGGAGAGGGAAAGGCGGGTGTGACGCGGTGGAGAGACAGAGAGCACAGTTACACAGAGTCGGGGACGCTGGGGTTGGGCTGCACAGTGGCTCAGAGGAGACGGAAGCTGATGTGTTTAAGGACAGGGTAACGAAGGGGCAATATTTCTGAAGAAGTGACAGCTAAGCGCCTACAGGTGAGACTAGAATGCCAGCGCAGTGATGGTTCCACGTGACAAGCACTATCTTTTCCACGGCTTTAAAGATCATGATCATCAGCCCGGCTCAGTTTCCTGAGTTGATTTAATAATGCCAAAGCTCCTAGGGTGGCTCTCTGAGGACACACCGGGCTGATGGAAATAATAATCCTCTTACACTTTTACGGTTCTTTAAAGTTCACAAAGCACTTTTACCTGTATTATTTTATTTTATAAGAGTTTCCGTCCCCCGTGGGTACAGACGAGAAGAGATGCAGAGCCCATAAAACATTTTGCTTATGTTACTGATGTGTAAAACACAAAAAAGGAAGCAATCACCTGAAATTTTGTTCCCACTCAGCTGTGTATTTACGCTATGCCCTATTGCCTTTTATATTTTCTTTCAAACAGGCATGGGCATGATACTTGGGGTGGAAAATTATTCGTAGTTAAAGAAATAAAAACAGAGTTTAAGCACATATTTTTATTCCATATTTTGATTATTTTTTCTTTGCACAGTTCTATTCTGGTGTTTTGTTTGCTTTTGTCCAGATGGCAAATGCACCGTTCAGTTTAGCCAGCCTGAATTAATTATCTTTTTATAGTAAAAGAAAACACTCTCCTTTTGACAACTAAGATGTTTGTGCTGTATTTATGAATAAATAAAAGCAGTTGTTATACACAGCATTATTAATAGCATTGTTTGAAACAT